CTGGGACGGCCTCGCCCTGCAGCTCTGCAGAGGGGACGGCGCCCTCCAACGCCACCTCTCCTGTAACGGGGGTGCGGCCTCCTGGCCACGTGGCTTCCTGTCTCGCCTGAGGTAGCTTCTCTGTGACTTCGTGCTCACCTTCCTCAGTGAAGTCTCAGAAATTCTTAGATCAAGAGAAGCGCTTATGAAAATAAGATGTACCTAGCCGAGGAGGCACTAAGGCTCAGTTGGGGCACAGTGAGGCAGGAGGTCCAGGAGGGTGGGCTCACTCCCAGCCCCCGCGGCAACCCCAGGAACACTGCGGGCCCACTCCTGAGGCTGATGAGACCTTCACACGTTTTCGTGTACAATTTGAAGGAGTTCATTGACCCCACAAACCTGGGCCTGGATGTGGCCTTGTTCTAACTCAGGGAAAACGGAATCTAGGGGAGAATGGGCCTGGTCGCAGCCGTCCGGGCACAGTAGCAGGGCCCTGGAAGCCCCTGTCCTCCCACACAGCCTCCCACCTCGGGGCCCTCGGCAGGTCTCCATGGGCCCAGGGCTGCTCCCAGTGGGTCCCTGGCTGCACTGCCACGCCCACACCGGCAGCCCAGGCCTGTTGCACCTGCTCGCTCCCCAGGCCCCCCGTGTCCGTCGTGGTGGTGGTGGTCACCCCTCCACTGGGCGCTGTCTCAACAACTAGGTCTGCCCCAGTGATCTGGGCCAGTAACAGCGCTGAGCGCCTGTGCTCAGCCCTGTGTGGAGTGGAGCTGGTACCCTGTTGGGCTGGAGGTAGCCTGGTCCTGCCCTCCCAGAGTCACAGTCACCCCCTGACAGTAGCAACCTAGAGTGAGCAGGGCTGGGGCATGACCCTCCCTGGGTGGGACATCAAGGTGGGCTTCCTGGAGGAGGAATACCTAAGCTGAGACTAAAAGGATGAGTTCAGGGGAGGTACTGGGGAGACGACCCTGCAGAAAGGAAAAACTTTGCAGAAGTCAAGGAATGTGCTAGCATGGCCTAGTCCTGAAGCAGTAGCGCTAAGCTGGCCTGCCTGTGGCTTGAGGAGGGGCCTAGTCAGGAAATGAGCTCAGACTAGGAACCATTCGGAAACCCAGCATGGTGGGGGTCTGACTTGAGCTCTTGAGGACCTCTGGGAAGGAGGCTGGGCACTCTAAGGACTCCTCAGGCCCTGCTTGGAGAGTGGACCCCTGGCCTGGACAGCCTGGGGCTGAGGGGAGGGCCGATGGGGGCTGTGCAGAGCAGGCAGAGGCGCAGCCACTGAGGAGCTCCAGCTCGGCCCCTGTGGCTTCCTGTGCTCCAGGCAGGTCCCGCCGGCACTTCCCTTTCTCACCCCTCCTGCAGCCCTCACCTGCTGTCCTCCCACCCCGCCCACCCCCGACCCCCAGTCCAGCCTGCACTGCCTCTGCCTTCCCCCTTCCTTATGGGGCCCCACCTCTTCCTGAGAAGGGCCCGCCCTGTTTCCACTAACCTCAAGGATTGGGGGGGCCTCTCTTCTGGCTCAATAAAGACTTCCTGGTTCAGACTCACATGGCAAGTGGTGTTTGGCAAAGAGGGTTTCAGAGGAGTTCCTGGGCTCTCCCTGCTATGGTGACTGGGAGCAGGCCGTCCCCTCGCCCCCGATGTCTGATCCCTACAACTGCTGCCGAGGGAGCACCCTCCCCTGCCCTCGTGCCTGCTGTGGGGGCTCCCGTGTGCCAGCCCTCCCTCGGCCCTCCTGCTGCTGGCGTGCTGCTAGGCACCCATACCATATGGGGACACGCTGCCCCCCGGCCTCCTCACCCTCCCTTCCTGACTGCTCTATTACTGTAACCCCCACATAACCCTGGGCCTGTGCCCTGGTGCTGGGGGGGGGTACTGGAACAGCTTGCTCTCAGCCAGGGCTCTCCGTCCCCCTGGCATCCCAATGGGCGTCTGTAGCCTTCCGTCCAGTGGGGTCAAGGTGCCCTGTGCTCTTGTCAAGCCACATAGGTCCCAAGGGTCTGCATCGCGTCTCCTGTCTGGGCCTCTCTGAGGACCACCCCCAAGGAGACAGGGCTGCATCTTCCCAGGCCAGGGCCGGGCTTTTAGGAGCCGAGGCACTGCTTCCCTCGGGCCCCGCCCCGGGCTCTCCCAGGGACAGCCTCCAGGTCTCCACAGATACTGCCGCTGGGTGCGGGACGCTTCCAGCAAGTGGGGCTTGCGTAGCAGCCCCGGGGCTGAGGTGCTCTAGGGTGGTGGGGCGCCCACACCCAGGACAGAGGGGACAGGCCCACTCTCCGCCTCCTCGCAGCCACCAACCTGTGCTTTGCGGAGCGGAACGTGTACACGTCGGAGGTGCTGGCCGTGGTGATGCAGCAGCTGATGGAGCAGAGCCCCCTGCCCATGCTGCTCATGAGGACCGTCATCCAGTCCCTGACCATGTACCCCCGCCTGGGGGGCTTCGTCATGAACATCCTGTCCCGCCTCATCATGAAGCAGGTAACCTGCCCGCAGAACCCTGGGCTCCACCAGCCTGCTGCCCCCCATGCACCCCCAAGGGGCTGGGGTGAGGAGAATAAACACTGCCCGTGATGAGCAAGGTCAGGAGGTGGTGCGCCCCCCGGTGGCCCCACCTGGCCAGGACACGCACTGGAGCCCAGGGATGCGCCTGTCTTCCGGAAGAAGCTGGAAGCCACACCGACCCAGCCTCAGCCCCAGGCTGGGTTCAGCCCCTGGCAGCACCTTGAGGTCAAAGCAGATTCTGATCTGGGCTCAATCTCTGGCCTCCCCCTAGTGCCCATGACCCTGGACACGCCTCCCAGTGCCCCTTCCTCCAGCAGGGCTGATGTCGCCCCCTGCAGGCAGCTGTGCAAGTGGGCAGCTGTGCCGGTTCTCGGAGCCTGGCCTGGACGCTGCCTGGAAGAGCCACTCGCTCCCCTTTTCCCAGCTGTCTTCAGGCTCAGTCCCTTGGAGGGAGTCAGGGCTCTGGGCCCAAAGGGTGAATGGCGGGACCTGGCCCCGGCTGCCCCCTGCTGACCGGCCTCCCCGCCCTGCCCAGGTGTGGAAGTACCCCAAGGTGTGGGAGGGCTTCATCAAGTGTTGTCAGCGCACCAAGCCCCAGAGCTTCCAGGTCATCCTGCAGCTGCCACCCCAGCAGCTGAGTGCCGTCTTTGACAAGTGCCCCGAGCTCCGGGAGCCCCTGCTGGCCCACGTCCGCTCCTTCACCCCCCATCAGGTACCCCAGTGGCGGGCAGCCCTGTGGTTTAGCCTTAGGGGGCTGGTTGGATGGGGGGGGGCGGGCAGAGGGGAGCCCAGCACTGCCACTGTCAGGGGCCAAGTGTCTGGGGTGTCTGTAACTCTGGACCAGGACTATCCATAGCACCCCATCCTGCTGTCCCCCCAGCAAGCACATATCCCCAATTCCATCATGACCATCCTGGAGGCCACCAGCAAGCAGGAACCAGAAACTAAGGAGGCGCCTGCCGGGCCCCTGGAAGAGGTGAGGGCCACCCACCCTACATCAGGTCCCCACCCTGCCCACCTGGTGGCCGTACCTGTCTGCTTGGAGTCTCTGCTCAAGGGGTGGTGGACGGGGCAGTGCCCCTGACTCCTGTGCCCACCTTGCTGGCTTCCCCACCCTCTCTGAGAGCAGCCTGGGTCCTGGCCACCTCCCATCTCATCCCTGGACTCCCCTGTGGCCCCTCCCCACCCCAGGATGACCTGGAGCCCCTGGCCCTGGCCCCTGCGCCGGCCCCGGCCCCCCGGCCCCCTCAGGACCTCATCGGCCTGCGGCTCGCCCAGGAGAAGGCCTTAAAGCGACAGCTGGAGGAGGAGCAGAAGCTGAAGCCTGGGGGCGGGGGAGCGGCGGCATCCTCGTCCACAGTCCGGCCAGGCCCTCCCCAGCCCGAGGAAGCCATAGATTTGCGGGAGGAGGGGCCCGAGTGCGAGACCCCGGCCATCTTTATCAGCATGGATGACGACTCGGGGCTCACCGAAGCTGCTCTGCTGGACTCCAGTCTCGAGGGCTCCCTATCTAAGGTAGGGACAGCCAGCTCAGAGCCAGCAGAGGACAGCCGGGGCCGCGTTGAGGTGCGTGCGCCTGGTGCCCAAAGGGGCGGCGGTGGGAGCTGGTCTGGTCGGGGAAGGTGCAGCCCCGGGAGCGCCGCGGGGCCGCGCTCCCTCTGCCCAGCCCCGCCTTCCTTCTGTCACCACCAGGAGGCGGCAGCGGGCGGGCAGACGGCGAAGGAGGAGCGGAGCCCCCAGACGCTCACACCTGCCGCGGAAGACACTGTGAAGACGCCCAGCCCGGCTGCTGAGGAAGCCGGGGACGCTGAGGCCAAGGGCAACAGCTGACGGGGCGGGGCGGGCGGGGAGCAGGGGAGGGGGGGCAGGCGGGGCTTGGCCGGTCCTTTGCCTTCGAGAAAATTAAAGCGAGAGCGCGGGCCTGGGACCTGGCTGCCGTCTCCTCTCTGCCGCCCTCTGGGGCTGCGCGGGTGCGGGTGCGGGTGTCCGCCGGAGAGGCCAGGCGCGGGGCTGCGCCTGCGCACAGCCGGAGCCGCCCCGCCGCCCCGTAACGGCCCGGCCCGCCCTCCACGACCGGCGCCGGACCCCTGCGGGCCATGGCGGACCCGCCGTCCGACCCCGAGGACCCGTCCGAGCACCCCTCCTCCCGGAGGGGCTCGCAGCCCTCCTCCCGGAGGGGCTCCCAGACCTCCCGGAGGGGCTCGCAGCCCTCGGAGTGGCGCAGCGGGGAAGCCATCCCCAGCCGGGTGCGCGTCGCAGAGGAGGTGGTGGAGATAGCGCCCGCCGCCTGGGGCCAGCCCCCGAGCCAGGAGTTCCTGCCGAGCCAGACCAGCCTCCGCTGGTCGCCAGAGCTCCACAGCCAGCCCCCGCCCGAGCACTTGGAGATGTTCCCGCCCGAGGACGGGCTGCTGGGTGCCCACGAGCCCATGAGTGTGTCCTTTGCTGACTTGGCGCCGGGGGGCCCGTCCCAGCCTTACCCGGAGGAGTTCAGGAAAGACGTGGGCCGCAACGCCAGCCGGATGCTGCAGCAGCTGCAGCAGGGCCAGGGCAGCTTCTTCGAGCACCTCGAGTCCGCCTACCAGGACATCCTGCCCGAGCACGTGGACCAGTTCGGCCTGTACCAGAGGCCAGACTCGCACTTCCTGGAGGACGCCCAGCATGGGCCCTACGTGAAGCATGACCCTACCCTGCAGTTCTCGCCCTCTGACCTGGGCTTCATGCCCTACCCTTTGGAGATGCCCGAGCCGGAGCCTCGGGAGCTGGCTGTGCAGAACGCCAAGGCCTACCTGCTGCAGACCAGCGTCAACTGCGACCTCAGTCTGTGAGAAGGGGCAGTGCGGGGCTGGGCGGGACCAGGGCCAGGCAGCCGCCCCCCTCCCAGGCCCACCCCAGCCTGCCCCGCTTGGCCTCTTTACCTGGCAGCCGCTCTCCACCGGGTAGCCGGCCAGTGCACTGGGGCCTCCAGCCCACACTAAGGGGTGAGGAACTACATGCTAAGATAGGTAGCATTTCTTTGCAAGCCTCCAGCCTTCTGCGGGCACTTAGCAGTAAACACCATCTCCCCCCAACCAAAATCACACTGCTATCCCCATTTACCAAGCTGGAAAGCTGGGGAATAGAGTCCTTTGTCCAAGCCACAGGGATGTGGGCAGCCAGGCTTCCAGCTTGAGGCCCCGTCACGCTCTAACCCTGCCTGAGGGGCTCACACTAGGACACTCAGCTGCCGCCCAACACACCTCTCAGCCCCCCTCCCACCCTCACTTTCTGCCGTGAGGATGACATTAGCTATAGTGAATGATACAGTGGAAAATTCCAAGACAGGGCTGGGGGGCAGAGAGCAAAACGCTAAATAGCCTGAGGCCAAGGGTGTCTGAGGAGGTGACATTTGACCCCGGGGACCTGAAGAAGGGGAGGGTCAGCAGCTTGTAGGTCCCTGGAGGGAGAGGGGCCAGCATTGAACCCTGTGAACTGAGCTTGAGAAGCTTCAAGGAGGCTGGTGTGACTGGAACCCAGGGTGGAAGCTGAGGCTGGAGAAGAGAAGTTCTGGTTGAGCACAAGCTGACTAAACCTCCCATGCTCAGAGCCTGCCATGGCTCCCCAGCGCCCATAAGGCTCGTGACTCTCCAGGCAGCCTCCACACCCCTGTATCATTCGGCCCTGCCAGCTCTGACTTCATCTCTAGTCAGCTTCGGACCCAGACCTTAGAGTCCAGTCAAAGTTAGCCTCTTCTTCAGCTGTCCCAGCCCTTGTGGAAAAGCCCAGAGCAAAGCCCCACCTCCTCTTACCCAGCCCTATTCAGGCACGGCCTCCCCCAACCCCCCCCAGAGAGTGCCAAGAGGTCTCCACACCACAGGAGGCTAAACATACCTGTTTCAAAGTCCACTGACCTGGTTTCAGACCTCAGTGGTGCCATCCTGTCTGACCGCACACCACAACTTCGTTAAGCCTCAGTTTCCTCACCTGGAGAACAAGCTCACAGTTTCCCTCCGGCATGTGTGGGGCTGGGCTGAGAATTTAACACTGGTCCAGGTGCCCAGTGTGGTGTTTGGCTCAACCAAATGGACGCTACTGGGGATGATCACTGCAGACACCTCCCACCCCTCCGGTGCCCCACTCTGCCAGGCGGGTCTCCTGAAACCCACTGCGGAGGGGGCAGCGGGGAGACAGTGGGCCACTCCCCGGCCAGGCCGGTGACAGCACTGAGACTTAACCCCTAGGCCACCAGGGAGGCCCTCGGCATCTGGATTTTGGTAAAAAGAGACAGGAGTGGAATTTCTCCTAGCTTTCTTGCGATTTGGGTATCAGGATTACATGAGACTCAAGGTGTCGCAGGACCTGCACCACACTGTTCTGTGTGAGAACAGTGAGCTGCGGGCTTGCCTGCCGCCTTCAAGCAGATTTCAGCTTAAACGTGACCTTGATGAGGTCTGCCCTGGCTCCCCCTCTCCAGGAACAAGCGGTCCCCTCCTCCTGGGACCCCTGCTTTGTCTCTGTAGGAATCGCCGCCACTGACACTATCTTGCCTACCCAGTTCACGCCTCTCCACCATCAGGGGGTCAGCTCACCGGGACAGGGACCTTTTCTCCTGAGTCCCCAGCGCCAGCCAGAGGAGCAAGTACCCGGCACCCCGCTCAGTAGACTGAGTGGGCGGTATCCCCACTCCCACTCCCTCCGGGGAGGTAGGTACGAGCACCTGGTGAACCTGCTGACCAAGATCCTGAACCAGCGGCCGGAGGACCCCTTGTCCATCCTGGAGTCGCTGAACCGCACCTCGCAGGCCGAGTGGTTCCACCCCAAGCTGGACACCCTGCGGGATGACCCCGAGATGCAGCCCACCTACGAGATGGCGGAGAGGCAGAAGGCACTGTTCACCCGGGCCGGCGCCCTGGGCGAGGGCGAACAGGAGATGGAGGAGGAGGTGGTGAGTGAGCCCCCTGTTTGGGAGGCTTGGAGGGGACGGAGCAGGGCGGCCCCCAGATCCCCGGCCGTTTCAGTGCAGCACAGGACCTGGGGACCAGTCTCGGAGGGCCTGGAACGCCAGGCCCCGGCCAGCCCGCGGAGGTTTGAAGCAGGGGAAAGCAAGTCAGTTGTTTTTTCAGACAGGGGGTCTGGAGGCCCCGGCACCAGTTCCCCCTCCAGAAAAGAGCTCGGGTCGTTTTCTCTGACATCCAGTGCCTCAACACTAAATTCGTCCCTACCCCCTGCCCTCAGTTTCCCCTTTTGTAAGTTGAGACCCATCCACTAAGACTTACCCATGCCCCAGTGGCACTCAGAATATGCAATTCCATGACTGCAGGGAAAATGTGCTCTCACTCCTTCGAGACTCTTTCCTTAAGTGTTTTCTGTCAGATTCGGACCCCTCCCAGGCCCCTGCTAAGAGCCTTAGAAGGATTGTCTCGTTTTGTTCCTGAAAGGACTCTGCAAGGCAGCTGCTACTTACTTTCTTTAAAATTTATTTATTTATGTATATAAGAACTGGGGTACAAGGCCAGGTGGGGGGTGAGAGGATTCACCAGAGACAGAGTGGGGAGCAGAACAGGCTGACTGACTGAAATACACTGCTGAGGGGGGCAGCGGGGAGACAGGCGAGGTCTGCTGCGCCCTGTGGGTCACTAGACAGCCTCATAGCACTGAGACTTTAACCCCTGCACCACCAGGGAGCCCCCAGTTGCCATTTCTTATCCCTGCATGGAGGAAGGGCTTTGGCTCTGCAGCGAGGAGAGTGCTGGGATGCTCTGGCCCTCTGAACCTGGGCTGTGCCCTCAGTCTGGGCCGCTCCTAAGATTCTTGGGCTCTGGCCACCGTGGGTGAGAAGGGAAGAAGCGAGAGGACAGTCTGGCCGATGAACGGGCCCCAGGGTGGTCTAGGTCTTAGGCCCTGACGGACAGTTTTACCTCAGAACGAGGGTTTAGGGCCTCCCTGGTGCCGCAGTGCTTCATGCAGTGTCCTGAGCGCTCAGCAAAACCCACGCCACTCCACTCTGCGAAGAAGGGCAGGGCGAGGCTGCGGCCCGGGGAGGCCTGAGAACCTACCCCTGCTCTCCACCCCAGCTCTGCCTTCTTGGGTCCAAGTTTGGTCCTGAGCTGCTCACTTTCCGCTGCAGCCACACACAGAAGCTGGCCCTAAGTCCCCGGGGCTGCGGTCACCAGCGGCCACAGTGGTAGTGGCTCAGGACACCACCACATACGGTTTTAAAGGCCCGGAGGGAGCCGTTGGGTCTCCCGCAGCTGGAATCAAGGTGTGGGCCGGGCCGCCGGCCTGGCTGAGGCCCTGGTGGAGGTCTGGGGCCTTCACTGCCTTTGCAGTGCCGCCATCCGCCCCCTGGCCACGGCCCCTTCCTCCATCCACCAAGCCAGCGGAGTCTCCAGGTCACTGGCTAATCGCTCTGCTCTGCCCTCACAGCGGACTCTCTTCCCTGCCAGCACGACCCTGGTGGTTACCGGGGTGGCCCAGGGGTGTAAGGCGACTCCCCGTCACAGTGTTCTCCTGATCACCCCTCGCCCCCCAGGTCCTTCTGGCCACGTGAGGTAACGCCCACAGGTCAGGGTTGGACATAGGCATCTTTTGGGGGTAGAGGGTTTTGCCTACCTCACCCCTCCCCCCCCGCCCCCCCCCCCCCCTGGGAGTGCTTGGGCTTCCTGCTTAGGGCTTCATCTCCAGCTTGGTCTGGGCCATGGCAGGCTGGTCTCCCGAGGGAGGACTTTGTCTGCTTTGTCTGACACCTCTCTGTGCCCACCCTAACCTGGGCTGGCGCCTCAGGTGCTACGTTTTAAATAGTTGATAGAGATGTCTGGACTGAGAGAATGAGAAAGAATTGGGCACAGCCTGGTGCCGTATGGATGTGGGTGGGGGCAGCTGGGCCAAGGCTTTCCGGGCCTAGCCCCGCCCCTCCATTGCTTGTTCTCACTCCCTTCTCCCCACTCCCTGCATAAAGCAGGGAGAGCAGAACTTATCTCCACCACCCTCCAGCATCGCTGACCCTGGATTCCTGGGTTGACCCTCTTAATCTGTTACGTGCTTTGAGGTACCCTTAGGAGCGCAGTTGGCTGCTAGTCACAGGAAGCGTGACTAGAAGTGGCTTCATTGTCCCTGAGAACAAGATGGCCAGAGGAGGTAAAGCAGCCTGGCGATGCCCACAGGGACCAGGCAGTCCCTGAGGCCGTGGGACTTTTGGTCCCCGCTGTCTCGCCTCCTGGTCCCAAGACAGCTGCTGTGCCTCCAGCTCTCACATCCCCCTCCAGGCAGGCAGGAGGAGGAGGAGAAAACCACAGCAGATTTTCTCCTAGAGTGGCTTGTCCTCCCCGGGCACTCACCCCGCTCACGCCCCCCTCACCCGCGGCTGCCGGTGTCGCTGGGTCCCAGATGAGCTCTGCCCTCCGAGGGCACGGCGCCAGGCTAGGGAGCAGGCTTCAGCCCCCTTCCTCTGCCCTCCACCCTGCAGACGGAGACGCCGGTGCCCAACGTCATGGAGACGGCCTTCTACTTCGAGCAGGCGGGGGTGGGCCTGGGCTCCGACGAGAGCTTCCGTGTCTTCTTGGCCCTGAAGCAGCTGGCGGAGCAGCAGCCGATCCACACCTGCCGCTTCTGGGGCAAGATCCTGGGGCTCAGCCGCAGCTACCTGGTGGCCGAGGTGGAGTTCCGGGAGGGCGAGGAGGAGGGGGAGGAGGAGGAGCTGGAGGAGATGCTGGAGAGCGGCGACACCATCGAGGCCCAGGACGAGGAGGAGGGCGAGGAGGATGAGGAGAAGGTCCCAGACGTGATCCCCAAGCCCACGTGGAAGCCGCCGCCGGTGATCCCAAGGGAGGAGAGCCGCAGTGGCACCAACAAGTACCTGTACTTCGTGTGCAGCGAGCCGGGCCGCCCCTGGGTGCGGCTGCCCCACGTCACGCCCATCCAGATCGTGCAGGCCCGCAAGATCAAGAAGTTCTTCACCGGCTTCCTGGACGCGCCGGTGGTCAGCTACCCGCCCTTCCCGGGCAACGAGGCCAACTACCTGCGCGCCCAGATCGCCCGCATCTCGGCGGCCACGCACATCAGCCCCCTGGGCTTCTACCAGTTCGGCGAGGAGGAGGGCGACGAGGAGGAGGAGGGTGGCATGGGCCGCGACTCCTACGAGGAGAACCCCGACTTCGAGGGCATCCCGGTGCTGGAGCTGGTGGACTCCATGGCCAACTGGGTGCACCACGAGCTGCACATCCTGCCGCAGGTGAGACGCCGGCCCAGCGTGGCTGGACAGCGCGCAGGTGACCAGCAAGGACGCTTGGGAGCCAGCACCGGGCATCGGGCATCGGGCCGGGCTCCGCTCCTGCCCATCCCCCCCACAGCCATTCCCCAGCAGGTACTGGGCCTTTGATTCAGGCCAGGGGCTTTCTGGAATTCAGAACTTGCCAGACTTTAAAAAAGGTCACATGGTGTACCTGCCCTGCGTTCCCCAAAACTTGGGGCTGGGGGGCGGGGCTGCAGCCTCAAAGGCATCCGTGCAGCAAAGCGGAGTAGCCCAGCCTCAGTTCAGGACGCGTGAAGTGTGGAGGGAAACTGGCTTTTAGAATAGTTCAGATTTTGAATTTTGGGTGAAAGATTGTGTGGAGGCTGCAATTTTCAGATGCTTAATATGTCTGGACTTCATTTTTTGTTAACTTTACAGAATGCATTTTTTTAATGTTTTTTTATTTTTATGGAGAAGAACTTGGGTGCAGGCCAGAGGTACGGGGTGGTGGTGAGAGGATCCACCAGAGGCAGAGTGGGGAGCAGAACAGCCAGATGCACTGAAATGCTGAAGGGAGCAGCGGGGAGTCAGGAGAGGTCTGCAGCACCCTGTGGGTCACTTAGTCTGTGGTGGTGATAGAGCTGAGACTTTAGCCCTAGGGGACACCCTGATATTGTTTTATTTTTGCATGCAAGACAGCACCTGCTAATTGCTAGGCACTTTTTTTTATTCACTCAACAAACATCTATTGAGTCTACACTTTTTTTTTTTAATCCAAGTAGCTCTCGCTCCCATTTTCCAGTGGATGAAACTGACACTGGTTACGGCGCGTCATTCAACACACTTGTGGGCTTTTCCGTATTCCACATGACCCCAGCATGAGTGAGAGGCACCCAGGACACCCCCATTTCATTTGCTCAGGTCTGAGGATGGACCAGGGGATCGCATGGGCTGCTGAATGTGAGCCCCCCCTAGAACTGAGGTGTAGGGTTCTCAAGGCTGTACCCCCAGCCCTTGGAGCAGCACCCCGGCATAGGCTGTGGGGCCTCACAGCTAGCAGGAGGCAGGAGCCCCCCTCAGTGCACAGCTCTCTTGGTCCTGGCTGCCCCTTCCCATCCCTTTACCTGTGTGGGTAACCTGTCCTCCTGCCCATACCTGGGTCCCTGAGGAAAGGGCCAGTCCTCAGTGTCCGCTGGCCTGTCACCCCCTCCCGGGGACTCTGGCCCTCTGGCGATGCCACCTCATCTTCTCTCTCCTCCAGGGCCGTTGCACGTGGGTGAACCCTTTGCAGAAGACGGAGGAGGAGGAAGAGCTAGGGGAGGAGGAAGAGAAGGGCGACGAGGGCATGGAGGAGGCGGAACAGGAGGTCGGGCCCCCGCTGCTGACGCCGCTCTCAGAGGATGCAGGTAACAAGCCGTCTCCACCGGGCCTGGGGGAGCCGGACTGCAGGGACCATCTCCATGAGCCTCGACCCCCCATCTCAAGGATGGGCATTGCCCAGCACCTCCCTCGAGGTTCTGTGGGTCACGTCCACCTCGTGTACGTGGCCTTGGCTGGGACAGTGGAAGTTGCTCTTCTGAGCCCATGTGGCCTTTAGGGAGAGTGCCCGCTAGCGAGGCCTCGGGGGAGGTGGGACTCAGCTGGAGTTGGCCGCTGTGCCTGGAGGGAAGGTAAGGCTGAGGGGGGCGAGAGGACAGAGCCCCCCTGTGACCCGACCTGTGCTCTGTACTCGGCCCCCTGCTCCAAACCAGAGGGGCCTGGAAGGCGAATCACCGCTGTGCCCCATCTCGGGGTGCCAGGGCTCTCTGTCACCTTGCAAGGGAGGTAAGTTAAGGAGCCCCATTTCCTGGGTGCAGGCCCTGAGGCTCAGGTAGGTGAGAGGGCTCTCTGGGGCCCACGCAGAGAATGTTCCAGAGCCCGGGTTTATATACTGCATTGAAGATGCTTGGTTGCTCCAAGCCTCCCTCCTCGCTCCCTCAATTTCCTCTGGCCGTCTCCTCCCAGGCCGGCTCTCACCCCCAGCCTCTCTGTCCTGCAGAAATCATGCATATGTCACCCTGGACCGCCCGCCTATCCTGCAGCCTCTGCCCGCAGTACTCCTTGGCTGTCGTGCGCTCCAACCTCTGGCCAGGGGCTTATGCCTACGCCACGGGCAAGTAGGTCTCCTCAACTCCCCAACTGAGGAGGCCCCTGACTTCAGAGCCAGACTGGGTGGCCTGAGACTGGGAGGGCCCCCTTCAGGAAGAGCCCAGGGCTGAGGCTCTCAGTCAGCTCCCAGGGGTCCCACTGAGGCTGAAAGGAAAAATCCCAGACCAAAGTGACAAAATGAAGGATCAGAGAGGGGAAGGAACAGACCCAGGTTCACAGAGCATGTGCAGAATTCAAACCTGAATCTCCAGCCCCTGCCCAGGCTTCCCTGCTGCTGCTGGTCAGCAGTCCCCTTTGGGGTGACCCTGGCAGGGGTGTCTGAGGAAGCTAACTCCTTCCTTGGAACCCTGTCAATGTGAAAGGTCGTCTCTCTCTGAAGCAGAAATCCTCCCACTAGGCCCCCCACCCACCCAGCCACTTGCTCTCAAAGACTGCGGGGAGGAGTGTGTGTGGGGAGTCACTCCTGACACCTCCCTAGGCCCTGGCCCCTGCCCCCACACATCCCCGAGTCTTCGTGTTCCACCGCTAGAGGGCGCGATCCCAAGCCGCGGGGATGCACTTACCAGCGCTGTCCACCAGGTGGCAGGACGACTGTTCTATATTTTTCTTCTCTATTCCAAAGATGAACCTGCCCGTGTTGGCTACAATGATTCACAGTCGAGGTGGGACTTCACGTCATCTTGGTATTTAAACCACGTAATAGTTTCTTGGCAATTACTGTTTTCCGACCTCCAGAAGTAGGCACTCTTGCTTTTGCCAACCCCCTTCTTCTGGTCACATTAATTTGCCAATATCTCTCTGGCAGCAAAAGAACAAAATTTGTAGCTCCGCCCCCACCACCCGTGTGCCCTACCCAACCACTACTCAGTCGTCCGTCGTGCATTACTCATCCATTGTTTTCCTTTTTAAAAGATTTACTTATGGATCCAAGAGCTGGGGTACCGGCCAGAGGCGGGGGGTCAGGAGGCTGAGAGGATTCACCAGAGTCACAGTGGGGAGCAGAACAGGCAGATCTACTGCAATCCACCGCTGAGGGGAGCAGCTGGGAGAAAGGAGAGGTCTGCTGGGCCCTGTGGGTCAGCTCCCTGGCCGGGAATGAAACTTGGGCTTCAGTGGCTGCGATAGCTTAACCCCTGAGCCCCAGGGAGGCCTCTAGAACAGGAGTTTTGGGAATTTTGGATGCAGGACTGGGGTGGGAGCCTGAGAATGAGTGAGGCTGCTGGTGGATGGGACCAGGGACCACAGGGACCAGGGCGGGCACAAGTGGGGTGAAGTTTCCCAGGAAGCTTCTGAGGGAGACCTGGAAGGGAACTGTTCTCTCAGGAATAGCCGGCTGTGAAAACAAAGTCAAAGCCAACTGCTCCCCAGGGACATTGCATAAGTTCAGGCCTGCCTCGTTGAACATCAAAGTGTGTCTCTACTCCATTCTTTTCTCACTGGAAGAGACTCTGGTGGAGGATGGAACCTGTCACACAGCAGAAAGCACATCATTCTTCCAGGGGCTTGTGGAACATTCTCTGGGATAAATCCCAGGCCAGACCCTAACACGAACCTCAAAGGACAGCCCAGAGTCCTCCCTTGTGGCACAACAGGTTGAAGCGCAGCACTATGAATCTGCCACAGCCACTGCAGTGTGAGCTGGATCCCAGCCGGCAGGGAGTGACCCACAGGGCACAGCGCCCTCCCCTGTCTCCTGCTGTCCCCTCAGCAGTGTATTTCAGTAGATCCTCCTGTTCTGCTCCCCACTCTGTCTCTGGTGAATCCTCTTACTGTCCCTGCACCTCTGGCCTGTACCCCAGTTCTGTTTGCAATAAATGAACCTTTATTTATTCCTTTAAGATTTATTTATTTATGCATACAGAACTGGGGTTACAGGCCAGCGGTGTGGAGGGAGGGGGGTAAAAGATAGCTTCGTAGTGCAATTGTGCCCTGTGCTGTTAGCCAGGGAAGCTGTGGACAAGGTCCAGGACTTAATAGATGCATAGTAAATGCTCGATGCCAACAGACGAAGAGAGACTTCTGGAGGGTACTTTCACCCTATCACTGCCATCTCACCTTTTTAATTTTTTTGAAACAACATTGCATTATAACAGTAGCATAATTCCAGGCAAACTTTAATATCAAAGTGTGCTTCTCCTCCATCCTGTTCTGCTCTCCATTTCTGTCCTTCACTGTACTCTTTTCCCAGTCACTCCATCTACCCCATTAACTCCTGCTGGTGACCGCTTCTGGTCACCATGGATCGGTCGTGTAGTCCAAAAGGTTTATTTGGTTTTAATTGGTTCACCCCTTTGTTTGTTTTTGCTACCTACCACATATGAGTCTTGTTTCACTAAGCCTAATCCCCGCCAGCTCCGTCCCTGTTGCAAATGATGGGGGCCCGTCCTTCATCAGAGTCCAGGCTGGGCCTTTGGAGGAGGATTTCCCAGTATCCCCTTGCTCTCTCCCCACCCCGCCCCCACCCCCCAGGAAGTTTGAGAACATCTACATTGGCTGGGGCCACAAGTACAGTCCTGAAAACTTCAACCCGCCTCTGCCGGCCCCTGTCCAGCAAGAGTATCCCAGCGGTCTGGACACCACAGAGATGAATGACCCCACAGTGGAGGAGGAGCAGGCCCTCAAGGCTGCCCAGGAGCAGGCCCTGGCTGCAGCAGAGGAAGAGGAGGAGGATGAGGAGGAGGATGAGGATGAGGAGCTGGATGACTGAGGCCCCGCCCCTTCCCAAGTCAGTAGGTAGACAATTTTCCCCTCTACATAGTCATGGTTATTTTTTCACTGTTGGTTTGCTTTCTGCCCCTGGAGGACAGGGCTAGGAGAGGAAGGGAGATGCTCTAAATAAAGCTTCCCCATGGCACTTACAGGAGTCCTTCATTCATTTGTTCACCATGTTTTGGAGAAGTCCCCCTGGCAGAGCTATTGGGCTCAGGGACACAGGCATTCCCCGCCCATCTCTCCCAGCTATGTCCTTTATTCATTCAGTTATCAAGCAGCTATCAGCTCAGCACCGTGCTTGGGACACAGCGTTAACCCCTGGTGCGGGGCTTTGCTTGCCCAAGGCTTACAGGACATGAGACAGAGGCTGCCCCAGGCAGTGAGAACCCAGAGAGGGGAGTGCAGAGGACTGAGAAGTCTGAGCTGACTCTGGAGGGGTCAAGAACAGAGTGGGGAAGGTGGGGGGGGCAGGGGGACCGCATGTGCAAAGAGCCAAGGGCAAGAGAGTGTGATGTGCTGGGGACTACGACCAGGCTGATCTTGGGGTTTCCAGATTGGTACTACTTGCCTTCACCCCGTTTCCAGTCCCCTGAGTCTTTGCAATCTGGCACCTGAATTCCTCTTTTCCTTCCTCAGCAAAGCCGTGGTTCAAACTCCTCGCCCTGCATCAGTCTTGTCTCGGGTCCTCCAGACTCTGTCTACACTCCACTTGGCATCTGGACAGTTCTTTCCAAAGCTTAACAAATGTGATGAGGGGGCCCCCCCTGCTTAAAACCCTTCTGCAGCTACCTAATTCTCTCAGGGCAAAGGTAAACTGTGATCTGGATCCACTTTTCAGCTACATCTCACACAACCAGCTCCTAACACCTTATCACCCCAACCAGGGTTCATGGAAAATGTGGAGACGTTTGGCGCCAGCATTTATGGGTAGTGGATCAGATGAAGCCCTTGGAGTTTTTTGGAGACACTGAGGATCAGCCGGATTGGGTGGGGAGGCATAATTGATGATGCTATAGGGCCAGTCGAGAACTTAAAGATATCCGTGGGAAACAGGGGAGCTCAAAAGGGTGCATATGAGGAGTGTAAGGAGGTGCTGGGAAGACCTGGGATCATAACCTCTGTGCTGCAATGCAAGGACAAGAAATGGACTTGACCTCTTGAGGGTCCCTGCGTTGCTAGGCAAACGGTTCCCAAGGCGCCGTTGCCAGGGACTTGGGCTTTCGAGTGGCCACGCCTCCACCACTGTGGGTCCCGCCCCCGCAGCCAACCAACGTGCGATCCCGGATACGAAGGCCGCGCCCACTTTTTTGCTCCGCCCACAGCGCCAGTTCCGTTACCCGAGCGACGGCCGGTGCTCGTCCCGCCTCCGGACTCTGTTGCCAATCGAAGAGGCGTCGCCCAGGCGACGGCCCCACCCCTTCCGGCGCGCGCTCGCAGCTTCCGGC